TGTGGCTCAAGTGGGAGAGTGCTACCCTTGAGCACAAAAGTTCAGGTACAGTGCCCAGGACCAACACAAAGAAAAAGAGAGTCTCAGGCTTTCCTGCCTGAGCTAACTTTGAACCATGATGCTCAGATCTCAGCCGCCTCAGTAGCTATTATTATAGGTGTGAGCTACCAGCACCCTGCAGTATTGCTTTAAGTTGCTTTTTTTCCCCCTGACAACTGTTGCTAGTAAGTATGAAGGCAGCAGTGTTGTATCTACATTTTTTTATGTTTTATTGGAATACACATGGAAAAGAACACAGGCCATAAAGTACGGCTTGACAGCTTTCACCAACTTTGCACACCCATATAAGCTTCACCCACACCAAGAAACAGAACATTACTGCCTGTAGTCCCAGAATTTAGGAGGCATAGCAAGACCCTGTACATTGTCAGGCACTGGTGGCTCATGCCTGTAATCCTAGCTATTCAGGAGGCTGAGAACTGAGGGTCGAGATTCAAAGCCAGCTAGAGCAGGAAAGTCTGTGAGACTCTTATATCCACTTAACCATCAAAGAACCATAAGTGGAGCTGTGGCTCAAAGTGATAGAGCACTAGCCTTGAGCAAATGAGCTCAGGGACAGCACCCAGGCCTGAGGTCAAGCCCCAAAACCCACCAAAAAAAAAAAAAGAACATTATCTAAACCCAGTGGCACCTCCTTCGCTCAATGTTCCCCAAATGTAATTTCTGACCCCTTCCTCACCCCCACTCATTCTTTCTACTATCTTTTTTAGTACATATGGCATTTCATAAATAATAACTTTGCAATTGATAATCTAGGATATTTATGTCCCCCAGAATGTTCTTCTAATGGTTCCCCTCTGCTACAGGCAACCACTGATTTAATCTTTGTTGCTGTTGTAATTGTTACCCATTCTAGGCCTTGAAGCAAAATCACCAGTATTTGGCCACTTTGCGTAAATATATTTATGTGATTTGCCCATGTTGGGTGATTTTTATCACATTTCTCTGTGCTAGCCAGTAACCCTTTGTACAGATACACGGTATGTCCATTTACCTGCTGACTGATTTAAGCATTTTGCTTCCAGTATGGGAAAGTTTTGAATGAAGTGTGCGTGGGCATGTGTGCACAGATCTTTGGGAGGCCGGCTGCTTATTTCACAGAGCCATCACATAATGGGGTGGGGGAGAAGTTCCTGGCTTTTTTTTTTTTGGTTGGTTGGTCGTGGGGCTTGAACTCTGGGCTTGGGCGCTGTCCCTGCGCTCTTCAGCTCAAGGCGAACACTCTACCACTTGAGCCACAGCACCACTTCCGGTTTTCTAGTGGTTTATTGCAGATAAGAGTCTCACGGACTTTCCTGCCTGGGCTGGCTTTGAACCTCGATTCTCAGATCTCAGCCTCCTGAGTAGCTAGGATGACAGGCGTGAGCCCTGGCTTTTTTTTTTTGGGGGGGGGGTCCCGTCGTGGGGCCTGAACTCTGGCCTGGGCGCTGTCCCTCAGCTCTTCAGCTCAAGGCTAGCACTCTACCACTTGAGCCACA